TATTGGATTTCTCAAAAAACGGACAAAAAAACAACAAAAATATTAAATTCTGTTTTTCTATGTAAATATATTTCAAATATGTCATCATTTTTAGAACAAACCAACAACAAAATACCAAAGAGCTCAGAATTCGATATCCGAGAATCGGAGAAAAAATTCCGGGAATTCACAGATCTTGTGAGTTTGTGACTGCGCACATATTTATTTCGTCATCTGAATTTTAATATTTTAAAAATATATTGACACTGTGCATTTCATTTTATATATATTCTCTTGTCAGAGCACAAGCCCTCTATTTTTTCTTTTTAAAAATATGCGTACAACGAAAACAATAGCAAATAAATATATGGTAAACCATGCTAAATAATTAATATATATATAAAATACGGTAAATATAGTATATATATGAGCATTTTTGTAGTAAAAAAAAAAGAAAACGTCTTTTTTTGGTTTTGGAAAACAAATGCGGAGGCATCTCTGGCAATTTTTATTTTATAATATTCATATACAAAATGCTTCACATTGATATTTGATACCATGTCTTTAATCTGAGATTGACCGATCTGTTGTGTACATATAGGCCTGACCTTTCACTGTGGATTGTAAATGCAGGGCATTCGTATTGCAAGAGTGCGCGCAGGGGAGTCATTGAACATGTATTATGTTTAGGTTGTCGTATTGTCGGGGTTGCTTGAACTTAGACCAAGCGAGTGCGATCAGGATGCCTTTCGTAGAAGGTATTCGTTCGATCATGACGTTGGTTCTAATCTTGAAAATATGCGGATTGAAACGGATGTATATTGCGTGCATGTGTGATAAATTTCTTCCGTAGTTTCTGTACAGGATTTCAAATCTTGCATCTATCTGAATGTACTCGTCTTCCTTTATATTCACGTTTAGACGACAATAGCATTCATACATCTAGTTACTACTAGTATGGTCGAGTTTTATATATATTGTTTCATCTGCTAGGCTTGACATGTACTAAATCTGTAGTCAATTCTGATTCTCTCATAGTATCCATACATCCAAAGCTGGGAAATTGAGTTTGGCTAACTAACTCGCATTCCTAGACTGTTGCAAAACTTAATTCTAAAAATAACCAGTCGGGATTTGAAATGATTTCCCTGGCTGATTGAGTGAACTTCTTGCGTACCCATAGGCGCAGGTGTTGGTGAATATCGACTACTCAATACTGGGTGACGCCCTTGCTCTAGCACAACCGGTGTGCGACTTCTTGGCAGTAGGACAGCACGCAGGTGATATGCAACACGAAGCCATCTCTACGCCGCCATAAGCTCATTTCTGCATTGTGACGCGTGCATCTATTCATCGGTGCACTCTAACATCCGGGCCAGTCAAAATATCAACATAATCTTAACCGGTCTCTCTCCTCGCAATTCTCTACTCTTCAACTACACCACGCCTCTGGCTTAACTTTTAATCGATCTCCGTCGACCAGCTCACGGTAGCACGTGCATTCGAGTGGTACTCGTGGAGAAGATATGAACATCCTTGCCCTTTCCCTTCTGCACCCCAGTTTGATTTGTCTTGAAAACCGTATTCAGCTACAATGACGCAGGACGGCAAGATACACACCATAGGTGGACATATATATATATATATATATATATAAATATATATAAATATGTATATTCACCCCCCACTCATTCACTGAGATTCGCTTGATGCATCGCACAGCGCGACGCAAACGTAGGTACCGTGCTGAAATTGCACATGATTATTTGCGTTTCGCATCATTCATCGCATCCGGTTACACATAACTGTTCCGCCCTATACGTTAACTTTGGCGTGAAACTATCATTTTGTAACCGCTCCTTGCGAATGCAATCAAGTTCCTGTGTCGCATATGTCACTAACTTGTCGACAATATTTGTCAACGAGCTGCCCGACGCCATATACCAGCTCTGAAATGCTCATGCCGTCTCATATCCGTGCACCAATTGACGGTTCTTGTCGCATATTACCTGTCGCATATTGCTCACAACTAAATTATACCCGCTCACTGGTTCACTTCTTATCCTCCTTCTCCTTTATCTTCCGGCCGTCACCGGCGGTCCACCCGTCCTCCTTCTTGGTCAGCATCACGATCTTGTGGGGCTCCCCTTCTACGTGAAAGTGTGGCACAGCCTTCACACTCAATCGCTTGACTAGGTCGTACACTGTACATGTATGGGGTTCAACAAACAAACGTCAGCTACACCCCCCAAAAAATGAACAATGGTAATAGAATTCAAAGATATATAATCTTGTTTCTCTCGAGATCAGCAAACGAGCTGAGGCTAAAACAAAATACAAGATAACAGATTGGGGGCAATGAGCAAAGCCATTGGCTGTAGCGGCATATACACAAGTGTTCAAAGGATGAGGTGCCCTGGAAGGGTGCTACGGACGATGTCAAGGGTAACACACACACACACACACATATATATATATATATATATATATCAACCACAGTAGAAAGGCCCATCTATAGTCGCATGCTATTGCCCAGATTGCCTTGTGTACAGAGCATCCTACGATCGCAGCTTGTATTGCGTATACAGACATACCAGAAATCATCAGCACAGACACCGGTGCGGAGTTCATGACTTTGGCCGTCATGCCATTTGAGAACCCCATCACTCCTAATACAATGCGCGACAGGCGAATAGGCAGGCACAAGATGGGGCAGAGTTAGTGTATGTAGAGTTAGTGTATGTGAGGCTACAGGGGTGTATGGAGTGGGAGACCAGGTGGATATACACATACACTGTGTATATGAGGATGAAGAAGGGATATACACATACACTGTGTGTATATGTAGGTGAGAGAGATATACACATACACTGTGTGTGTATGTGGGTGTGAGAGATATACACATACACTGCGTAAATATGCTCATGGCTGTGTTACGGTTCTCTATCCCTGAGTATCTACTGTAATTTATCAACGAACCAACTGTAATTAATGTCTGTAATGCATCCTCATACTGCAAGACCAACAGGAAGATTAATAAGAAGTGAATAGCAATAGCAACGTGCACAAGGTCGTAGGTAGTGCTACATAAACAAACACATATGGCAGACATACATATACAATGACCTAGACCATATGAAGGGGAGGTAAGCTGTGGCACACAAGCACTCACAGACACGCATAACTAAGCACATAATCGAACAACAGGTCAGCAATATATATATATATATATATATGTACATATGGTACAATGAGGGTGTGAGTGAGAGTGTGTGTGCACACCTTCCGTGCTGATGAGTTGCCTCACAGCGGTTGCAACAGTGAGCTTCTTGCTGCTGGTCTGTATGCGTGTCTTGATGACGTCTAAGGGGTTTGTCAGTGTCGCGGCGGTCATGCCGGCAGACATCCCACAGAAAGCCTATGAGCCAAAGAAGATGTTAAGATTAGATGTATGGGCAGGAATGAGCAGCTAGAGATGTGCGGTGTATCTTATAGGTGGTGGTAGGTATGAGATGGATGTTAATGCTAGTCGGATGAAACGCGCTCATGTAAACGAACAAGGACAAGGGATCCAGCCTATTGATTTAAACGGTTGCTACTACTTTTAACAGTTGCAGCACGGAACGCTCGTGTGTATCTCCTCATGTCATCCTTAAAACCCTCAACTCACAGAACATACAGCAATAGCTACTAAGCATAGACGTAGAGGTAGAGGTAGATGTAAATGTAGACGTAGACATAGACTTAGACAGACTCAGACATAGGCATATACATAGACAGACATAGACATAGACATAGACATAGACATAGACATAGACATAGACATAGACATAGACATAGACATAGACATAGACATAGACATAGACATAGACACAGACATATACTTAGTCATAGACATACATCCACACTCTCACCCACACACCTGGACTGGCACACGGTACGTCTGGCGATCCTCTTCGCATGTGAGCACGCGGTTGTTCAACTTGTCCTGCACGAAGCCGTAGGTGGCCCACCAAATACCAGAACTAGGTGCATACATGGAGAGACTAGACCAGAACCCTCGGTACAATCCCTTCGGACCGTCGCGTTTGATGATATGCCTAGCCACATCTGGGACACACACACACACAACACCAGAAGGGCATCAACAACGTTAGCGTAGCTACATACCGAATGTACAGGTTGATCTCGTCTGTAGCGCGCATCATAGGCACATTCGGATCCTAACCCTTTCGAAGTATGTGGGGGCATGTGCTGTGTGCTAAGGTGTAGATAGGTCTTGCATGTGCTGTGTGCTAAGGTGTAGGTAGGTCTTGGTAGAGTCTTGCATGCACTGTGACAGTGTGACCGCATACGAGGGCGGCGCGGTGGAATGACGCGTGCACTCAGATCGGTGGCGCAGGAAGATAATATACAGATGAAGAGGACTCTACAGACGACCGTACACACATACAATAGGTGTACTCAGGTGTAGATATATCACATGCACGTACACGCCTGAGGTGTAAATACGAGTTCATAAGAACATTATGACCTATACGTATTTATAATGAAAGTTTATCATCATGACCGTATTAAATGTGCATCATCTACATATCAACACAACAAATGTATATCATCTACGCAAACATAATAAATATATTCCTTCGACATAAACATGGCAAATGTATATCATCGACATACATCAACATAGCAAACGCATACCTTTTACATAGATACCCAAAAGTGGGTGCGTAGTTGCTGACACTCACTTACCTATGCCACTATTGAACTTCGTCGGAACACCCTCCTTCGCTTCCATCGCCTGCACTATGAGTCTGTAAGTACATAACAAATGGTTAGACCACAAAGCCACGTGGACAATTAATGAGGTCATCGGCACTACGGCTATTAAGGGATGAATAGTACACGCAATATGTGTATTTGTTCATATGATAATAAACAGATGCACAGTCAGGAAGATGACAAGTGCATGGAGAGCGTGTGTATGTGCATTCAACAGGCTAGTACGTGCATTTGAAAGGCCTCTGTGTATAACGTTAAGACGATTTAGTGCGAGTCGATTCGCAGCAACTCGTATGGACCAAAGAATATATATATATGCAAGTATATACATATGTATATGTTTAGGTATTATGTTTATGCATATAGTTTATAATAAATATATATAATATAATATAAGTTATATATATATACATTCACATATACATTCACATATATATGTATATACTTGCATATATAAATATATATATGCAAGTATATATATGTATATGTTTAGGTATATGTATATATATATGTAAATAATTTATAAT